GGGCCTCCCTGGTCCCCTCTCCTGACCCCTGAGCTGCCCGTCATGGCCAGGGCTGGCTCCGAGGGGCTCCTGCGCGGTGCGTGCACAGGAGGCAGTGGAGGGGCAGAGGCGCAGGGGACATTTCTGCACGTCCCGCTGGGTCTTCTCTCTCTGGGCTGCTGCGGGGCCTYGGCGACTGTCGGGCTGCCTGCAGCTGCAGCCTCTGCTGCAATGTTGTGAATTTCACAAGCCTGGCACAAGTGCACTAAATCCTTCAATTCTCCCTGTCTTGTGCTATTGCACTCTTTATTTAAACTTTTGCGTTACCTTAATAATTTGTTCCTCTCCATTATTTAGGGATATCCATTTGGATCTGCATTACGGCTGAAAYAGTAAACCTATGACATTTTCACTAATGAATACTATATTCTTTTGTTCATTTGTCCGCCGGTCCTAGAAATGAAATGGCTAATGAGAAGTGAAATGACTATGAAGAACAGAACATATGAGGCTTGAGTGTGGCTTTGAGAGAAGATGCCCATGGTATTGCTTGTGTGTCAGCAGAAGGCTCTGCGGGCCCTACTTCAGAAAACCGTGAAAGTGTGGTACCGAAGATAAAATTACATCATCTGTTATTAGAAGGAATAACAAGTGTTTATTTCGACTGGAAAAATAAACCCTTTGGATTGCATTAAAAAAAATTCAGGTGGCATTTCAATAGTTTGGTAGTTCACATGTATTTTTAACAGGCCGTGTATAAAATCTGTATGTATCAGCTGCTGTTGCTATGAATAACTGAATGTTTTACATCATTCATCTCTGTGTAATCATTTCTGAGATCCCAGGATTTTCCCTGAAATGGTTTTGACAGGAAGAATTTATTTAAAGCATATATGCGATATATGCGATATGTGTCATACTCTTGCAGGAAGAAAGATTTATTTGATAAAAAAAATAACCACTTTGCCAGCTGTTTCTCTTTTTGTTGACAGATCTTTTTTGTATGTGTATGTATTTTAAGAGAGTTAGACTTTACATGAATTCTGTTTTAACCTTTGCCAAAGTCAATTCAGCGTCATTTCTAGTTAAAAGGATTTTTTTTTCTTCTTCATGATTACATCTGAGATGGCAGAAAAATCACTACTATGCCATGGAGAATTACAGAGGGCTTTTCTTTGGTTTTCATTTTGCTTATCAAGACTATTTGAATCGGTGATGGCATTTTCCTCCCCAACCCTCCCGACGTTTACCTGTGATCCGCAGGACCGCGGCTTGCGTGCCCTTGCTCCGGGCTGTGTGGGGCAGAGGAAGGTTCCTTCTGTGGCCCATCTCTCGGGGGGGACTGCAGGAACGTGCAGCCTCGGCCCTGGCTCGCTGCACGGCTTTCCCGTTGTGCCCAACTGCACCCAGAAAGGCCCGGGACACGGTACCTGCGCGGACGGGAACACATTTCCTCAGCAGCTGCCCCCAAAACCTGAAGCTTTAGATTAATGTAGAAATTACACAAAGGGGTGGTTGTGAGGAGGTCTACAGGGGCTGTTGTTGGGGTTTCCTTCTGCCCCTCTTTTCTCTCACCTGTAATGTTGTTAAAACCCAAAGCTCTCCTGCCTTACCCCAAACTACCCACATGGCTGAGGCTAGGCAAGAAACCCCAAACAAACCCTGTGCTTTTTCTTAATTAGGATGTAAACATTGGAGTTTAAATCAGTTGGATGTTGAATGTAGGCTTCACAATGTGAGGATTATCCAGAGTCTGCTTTCTAATTTGCATTTGAAGATTTGTAATGTCCTTAGCTGTATCTGATTTTTTTTTCTTTTTTTCTCTTTTCTTTTTTTTCCCACAGGTCTAGAATATGAACTTTTATGGTAGTTTCCATATGCCTCATTTTAGATGTAGTTAGATCCTCCACCTCAGATGATACTGAATTCACCCTCTCCTACAGAACATCTAACCCAGTGAGTTTACAGGTGAAGTAGCTCGGGAGGTTACAAGAAGCACCCCCAAACATGGTCACACCTGGAAGCAATCTGTGCTCCTGGGCTGTCACCTGCATTGAATTTACTTCAGTTACGGGCACTGCCTAGGAGAGAGGTGATTTAATCCTCTTGAGAGCCATGTGAGGAGTTAGCTCAGTTTTTTCTCGTGTTCCTTCTATTCGTTTTGTTTTCTAAGGACGCCTGAAGATTGCACAAAAAGTTCTCAGTTTAGCTACACAGAGGTTAGGTTTTTTTCTTTTTTCTTCTCCTATGGAACTGTTCTCTCAAATAGAGTTTTGTGTTAAAAAAACTGCTTTATTATGTTTGAGACTAACTGTGTCTGAAGTTTCTGGTGAAGAGCCATCTGTTATTTCAAATGGGGAATTTCTTTCAAGAGTGTGCTTATTTTAGGGAAAAAGGATCATTATTCAGCTCATGAACTGAGGGTAATACATTTATGTAGATGTAGGGTTCCTTTGATTTCTTTCATTAAGATAATTATCTTTGTGAGAGCAAAATAACTGTCTCTCTAGTCAATGTGAAATGTCTACAGTTTTTCAAAGAGAATAACATTTTTTTCTTAAAAACAGATTTCAGCTTTTTTTATCATATTTTGAATGCAATAGTGATTGTAAATCATAAGCCATGATGGACTCTGGAGTTCCCCCAAATGCTGTCACCATTGTATTACGTATTCCAAATATAGATGTATATAATTCCAGGATTCAGACTATCTAAAATACTTCTGAGTTACTTAAAAATGACAATAATATGTGGGCACTGAGAAGTCTTTTTGCCACATGCTTTTTTTTTAATTTATTTTTAGGAGATGCATTTTATTTTGATTAAAATAATCAAGCTTACATGTATGCTAAATATTCTAAATGTGCCACACGCTTCATAGTTTATTTTATGTGCATTTAATAAAACCACATAGCCTTTCTCTGTAAGGCAGATTTAAAACAAACAAAATAAAATAACATACTTCAAGTTTGTTTTTTCATATGTACTAAGGCCTACTGTTAGGGGTTGTGGTGTTATTTAAGGAGCGGCAATTTGAAGATGTCTAAATGTGTAAGATCATCTTCTTTTTGAGCCCTAACATTACTCCCAGTCAGTCTCCGCAAATGCATCTTGTATGGACTGGTACGCCAGTGTAAAGGCTCTCACAGCTCCTTCTCTACCTTACAGACCCTATACCTTAGTTTGGAGGTTTTGTCCTAGCTGTTATTCTTAGGTTTTGCCTTGTGTTTCGAACTCAAAAGCCTATTTTATTTACTAATAAGTTAACACAAGCCAATGTAAAATCATGTGAATGTGTATTTTACCAGGCTAAGGCTGTGTTAAGCCACTCTGCATGCTATGCAGCAATTGGGATGCACAACTGGAAATTGTTGAGTGGAAATAGCAGCTTAAAAATGTCAGTAAGTTGCAATTTACTGGCCGGATGTTCTGAGATTCTGAGTTTGGATGTTATAAAATGCCAGTTTGGCATTTGGCAGTTGGTTTGAGAAAGGAGTCTGATCTGTTAGGGGTCAGGATGATGGCACTAAGGAAAGGAGAAGACTGTGGATATGTCTATAAACTTGGGTAGTTTGGCTGCTCTCCGGATACCAGTGTGATGTACGTAGAGCATTTACTGGGGGAGGAAGGATGTACTGGTCAAAAACCAGCATGGGTTGTGCTGTGAGGGTAGTCAAGTCAGCACAGGCTGACTTGACATAAAGGTTATGCCCTTTATGTTAGTTCGGTTATATTTGCAGCTTTTACAGGATTTGCATTTCGAGTGCCTGCTGCTAGGACTTGGCAGAGCTTTCCCTGCAGATTGTACTTTGGCTTCTTAACTTCTCTGGAGTTTCAATGTTGATTATCTAGCTCTAGTATTTAAAGCATCTTGATCTTTGAAGTCAGAGTATCTTTGCACAGCTTCTAGTTTTCAAAGTGTGTTGCTATCTGCAAAGGTGAATGTTTAAGTTGTTGATGAACTGTCTCTGTCTCTTGTTCTTTTGCTTTATTACTTATTATTATCTATACCCACTACTAATATTCTAAATTGATTTGTATTCCCAAAGCAAAAGCAGTCCACATCATGGACTATGTGCATAGCATGGACTTTCTTTGTAGCTGTAAAACTTCCTCATAACCTTTTGAACTTCTAGGCTATTTTCAGTTCAGTGGAAATTCTGGAATAGAATAATAATAGCAAAGGAGCACCTAAACTCCAGTGCTTTTGTTGTAGCAGTGCTCTTTGGGATGAGAGGTTTTGTGTCGTTCTTATGAAGGCTTTGTGTTGCTGGTCATTTCTAATATATCTTAAAATTGTAAGCTCTGCTAAGTGTATATTGCTGAGTATTGTAGAAAAAGAAAATAAATGTAACGAATATTATGGGGTCTTTACAGGCAAAGCTTCTGTTTCTGGGTCTCTAAAGAATTGGTTAACCCAAGAAGATCTTTAAATATACTAGTCCATAGCATTTGCCTTCTTGATAAATGTTATCCGTTTTGTCCCTATAAGCATTTTTTAAATTCTGCAAAGGAAACATTTCTTACCGAAGGTGAACCTCAAAACATACTAGAAAACTGCAGCCTACATTAGTGATTTATTTATATATTTACTTTTGTGGATCACAGTGCTTTACAAAAGGCTATTTACAAATTAAAAAGAGCTCTTCCCCCCTCGTCTCTCCTCATCCCAAAGTACTTCCATTTTTATATAGTGATTTAAAACTTCCAGCTTTTGGTATGGAATGTGATGCCCTTGATTTAAAGGGAGAGGAAAGGCCGCCTCAGGTCTCTCAGTTTGACTACAGCAAAATGCTTATCCATAAATCAGGCTCTGTGTTCTTGGTTATCGTGAGCGGTGATGCAGGGACCAATTCGAATGGAATTTCCAGAGAAGAAGTCAATTGAGTTTGGACAGAGGTCAGGCAGGATCCGTGAGCTCCAGCAGGGCCGTTACCAGAGATGCAGCCGCACGCAATGGAGCACAGCAGAGCTGACGCCCTTCACTTACCGACTCTTAATTGACCAATTAATTTGACAGTGGCCACCATGCACTTTGCCCTATCACAGAGTCTTGACAGTACAAACAATCTTATGAGACGTTTATAATGCTCAAGGTGATTTTAAGTTCTCAAACAACTCTTCAGAAAAATGTGGTAGGTATCACTTAGCAGAAAACTTCCCTCTGCTTTTGCTTTCCAGGGCTCTAACAGTCAATGTGTTTGTCCTTAAAGTTTTTTTTTTGTACATAATGTTGTTTGTTTTCTGAATACCATTTAAATCTTTGTTTTAATTAATTGGCCAGATTGCTACTAAATGGCCCCTAGGGAAAGGAGGAGAAATTTCTCCCAAGAAATAGGATGTGTGTACTCAGGTCAAGTTTTTTGTTTTTAATTACTTGATTGCCGGCTCATTTTCAGTAAACAGAGCCAAGAAGTAGAATCTGTTTATTATAACCACATACAGTACATATCTGTAAAAGTACTTGCCTGTTTATTTTGGGGTGGTTGTTTTTGACTGTCTGTGACTGCAACGAATATGTGCACGTGATTATACCTCCAGGCCTAGAAGGTGAATGCAGTAACAACCCTTATGGCACAAAGGGAATATAATGTGGGTTATAGTTTGAAGTCTGTAGAGGGTAACTCATGCAGCACGTTTGCTCTGAATTTGCAAGACTAGTGGTAGCATGTCTCCTTTCACTCCGTGGTTTGGTTTTGAGCTAATGGTAGTCATGGTAATCCTGCCCATCTCCTCATTAGATGGGTTAGGAGGCAAGAAAACTGTGTACTATTTAATATTTTAAACTACTATTTTGCCAGATTAACCTTTTTTGTTTCTTTGCCTCATCCATATAAAAGATACAATTTCAATGGGCCTTTACATTAAAATATTGAATACTTAAAAAAAAAAAAAAAAAAAAAAGTAACTCTAGTCACTTCCACACCTGTATATAAATTCTAATAATCATTCTCTCTTCTTTTTTGGAGTAGGAATGTAATTATTTTGAGTTCTTAGTAGCACCTGGGTACTTAATTTAGTTGCATTCAAAGCTTGGTTTAGTTGCAATCATTCCTTTGTTCCGAAAGATAATCATGGCTCTCTTCCTAACAAAAGTTTCAGCTTTATTGTCTGTAGATCTTGGACTCATCAGCAGCTCTGTGAAATACAAACCTGTGAAGAAACTTCAAGGGGAAGCTAAGCCTCTGCAGGGTAAAAGTGGCCCAGTGGGCTGACCTGTCTCTCGGCTGAATCCTGGGCATTAAAAGGACCTTGCTCACTTATATGTTGAGCGGTGTGTGAGCGTGTGTGTGTTGCCGTGTCCTGTGCCAGCCCCTCTGTTTTTGGACACGGGGACATGTTGCATTTTGGTTGCTCATACTGCTCCCCTGCAGCTCCTTGATGCTGGCGGCTGCCGAAGTGGTAGCTCCCTGCCGGCCATGGGGCCTCGTCCTCGGGTCAAGGGAGGCTGCAGCCTCCCCATTCATCCCATCAGTAATGTAACTAACTTATGTAATAGGGAATGTAATAGGGAATCTGCCCTTAGCAATTCTTGGGCAGCTTGCAGTTTGCTGAGGGCAGAGCAGATGTCACTTGAAGACGATCAGAAATGACTGTTCGACCTCTGTAATGCCATTTCAGTGATTAAACTCATGAAAAGTCGGGCTCCTCTGAGCTGAGTGAAGTGTCCACAGCGAATCTCTTTCCCTGCTTGTCATTAACTTAACAGTGCTGAAATATTTTGAAAAAGGTTAATTGTAGATGGATTTTTTAAAATTTTCCAGAAATTCATAAGCACCTTTCCTCCGCCCCAGCTTCACATGGACACAACAATTTCGTAAAAAAGAAGCAACAGTAGAAAATTATTCTTTAGTAATGTCAGCACAATCACAAAACTGAATTCTGCTGCCATAAGCAATTTCCATTCTTCATAATATTCTACAGGGCTCCTTTCAGCTTTTTTAATAGTATTACAATTTTGAAAAAGAAGTCTTTTCTTTTTATTCCAATAAGGCTATAGTTAGGCTTACTCTGCTAATGTAGCTTGCAGCCTGTAGTATATTCTTAATAGCTTTCATGAATTGAGACTAAAAGATTTTAAAAAATGAAATATTTAATTCTTGCCCGAGCATTGCTGGTACATCCATTTGATACAATATTTTTCTACATTTTTCTAGCTTTGTGTGTAATAGTTGACACTGATTTGTGGACTATTACAAATCATTTTATGCAAATGGAA